TATGTAGGCTATAGCCTCTCACTATTGGTCCCCCTCAACTTGTCAAACCAAATTTGCACCCCTGTTAGAGTGCAATGGTTATAGCTTAAAATTTGTGTTATGTAGCGTCATGTTTCAAATGTTTATTCAGTGAATTCAGCAACTGCCCAAAGGCTGAGTCCACATGATTTTTATTCATTTCTAGGTACAGGGAAGCATGATGGAATTATTGTCTGTTGTAATCGACAGCAAGATACAACTGCAAGATTGTCAAAATATTCCTATAAAATCACCATGTCATGGCAAATTGGAACATTGCAAAGAACACTTGAGTTAAGAATACTATATCTACTCCTGCCATAGAACCCAGTCTTACTATTAATTTCCCATATGTGCCAGCCTAACTGTAACACCAAGTGACATCACAAGTTTTAGTTTCTCAGTATACAAGCCCAAAATAGCACTTGCATAAGGAATCATGTCAGAAAAAGAGATATGAAAAATACATCGTGTTGTTTTGTGGTGACATTTCTCTTTAATTCGGGCCTGGTTTGTGCAGTGTCGGCTTGTTGTGACACACAAATGTGATGTCTTGAGGCTACTCATGGAAATGGTCCCTGTCATCCCTCTTGCAGTGATGATGATAAAAGGCAGCATCACAACAGCAGTGAAGACTTGAACACAGCTCCTGTCTCTCTTCCTCTGTCACAACACGTGACCTAATCGTATCACTTGCTGGATCAATCAGAATAAGTGCAGTTATTGCTCGTATGAGTTGGATGAGTGCTTGTGACAATGGTCCATACAAGAAGGTAGTACACCAAATCGACCATTTCATGCTCCACCCACAACAACATTCTTTTATTGTTAAGCTGTTGGACAAGCTTTATAGAACACAAAAGTTCAGATTTTGCAAAAATACCTGATTTTAGAGTACATCATTATTTTTTATAATTTATTTTGCTTACAGTTGAAAAGTAACACTGTTAGGGTAGAACAGATGTAGATTTTAACAAAGAATAGCATAGAATAGAAATAGAATTAGCATTAGCATGATGACAAATTTGTCACTGTCAAAACTGGACATTATGTAGCAACTCTAAACAAAGTATGCTACAGTTTCTCATTACACAGAATGCGATTTTTACCAGCATTCTGTAACATTTGTCCAAGCTGGCAGTAGGCCTGTGAATCAACATCATATTGCACTGCATTATGAGATTGTTCTGCATATTGACAGGGTTAGTTGTTGTAAGCTGTTTATTGTGTTTTTTTCAGCCTTGTCATGCCTGAAAATGAGTCAAATAAGAAGGGTGTATACTGTAACCAACACCACAGGGACACTAATCAACAGAATATGGATAAAATTAACCATATTGATGGTGTGAATCCATACAAATTCCAAAATAAAAACTGGAGTAATGAGCTGGATATGCTACTTCTTTTTTCCTTCCCTTTTCCTACCTGGTGTGTGGCTTGAGTGTCTGTTCATTTGAGTTATATCAAATTTTCAAGCCATTTTAAGCCCATGTACAGTTTAGAAATGGATCTTCTGGCCAGCCACAGAGAGATAGAAGACAACTTAGTTATCTTACTGACATATTTCTCTCAGCTACTAGCATATAACCTTGTAGGTGGCTCTTTAGTGAACGCTGCTAACTTAGCTAGTAAACAAACTAATGACACTTTACTATATTAAACCCCACAAACACTTCATTAAAGATCACATGTGGCTTCAAGTTTACACCAAAAGGCAGTCAATCTAAAATCATAAACAGACAAATGCTAATTGTTACCTCAGCTAAATTTAGTGTCATAACCATCATAACCTTACTTCACTTTATACCTTTTAACAAGAAAACAATATGTTTGTGAAGAGTTAGTTAGCTGATGCCAAATGTCCACTAAATCCATTAAATGATGGTGAAAGTTTTATTCCATTAATCTATACAATATGAGCTTGAACTTGATGTTCATCAGCACTCTTACTGCAGTGCTTCCTATGTACTGATTCACTAGAGCTGCGTGTGCATATTCAAATGCAACTTACTTTCTGATCTGCTTTCCATAATTTTGCTGTAATCTTTGATTTAGTAGTCATGTAGATCCACATGCTAGTCTACTTATTTAGTAAGAAACTTGGGCTACAAATCAGGTATGAAAGGAAGGTTCATTCAAGCCCTTTATTTGTAACAAAAGACTGCATTTGTAGGCAGAGCACAAATATAAGATTATATATACATATTATAAGAATATATATACAGAATATAAGATTGGGGGTCAGTAACTCAGTCTGAGCAGGCTTATATGCAGATATTAAATATAAGACTTATTATTCATTAACTGATATGAACTACTTAATAACTATTATGAAACTAATCTGTACATTATGTAGTTATGAGAGTGACCAATTGAAGTGTGGGCCCACATAAGAGCCCTTAGATGGCCACTGTCAAAATTTCTTACAGCAAGATTTTTCAGTTTAAAGACAAGAACAACTCTCTTTTGATGATGATGATCTTGAAGGTTGGAGGAACCTTTTAAGGAACTATTCTGCTTCTGGGATGGAAACTTGATGTTCTTTTTTCCTGCTAGTTTGTGAGTGCAGATGGAAGTTGGATAACTAAGGCTACTACTAGGAAATGACATCTGTATTCATTGGCCTCTATATGAGTGGCAATGCTAGCAGTCAGGATTTCTTTATTTCCATGGGTGGATTTTCAATAGTTCTGTGATCTAGTTGTGTAATGCATGCTGGGTATTGTAGTAAGGGACATAAACATAAACATTAAAATAAAATTGTGAATTCTGTCAAACTGATAAGGCTCAGGGATGACACACTGCGCTATAGAATGCTACATAACATGACAAATATAAAACATATTAAATGATAGTATTATGTGTTTTATTTTACATGTATTTATGTATTTTTAATGTTAAATCGGCCTTACTTCAAATGTATTACACAGACTTAGCTTAATAATACTACTTTGCCTTGATAAAGTGATTTAGGCTATTAGCCTGTCCTACCTATAATTGTAATGCTAATAGCATTTTCTGGTAGCAGTTTAATGCTGGTAGCATTTTCCTTCAATGCTCCCAGAAGGAATTAAAGGGATGGTTCACCGAAAAATAAGTTTGCACAGTTTTCCCCACATGTAGGCGACTGGCCAAGACATGTTTGATGTCTGAAGACAGCTTGGGGCTAATTTATGTATGGAGATTTCACCCAAATGGATTTAGATGACTTCAATTACTTTTAGCTACATTTGATTATAGTACAAAACATGGAGACACCAAGCATATCTTGGCTGAGTGACTATGTTTAGGGTTTAAGGTATATTTATTTTTGGGGGTGAAACATTCCTTTTGAAGTGAAGATATGACCTGTCTGAAATGATGACTGAAATGTTTAGGATAAGCAACACTGTTAACGTGCTGTGGAGCACTGAACAAAAAAGAAATGAAACTATTAAATATAGCTCTGAATGATATGTTAGAATATTCTGTTTGAGTTGAACTCCGCGCTGCAGGCTGGTGCCACACACACACACACACACACACACACACACACACACATGTGCGGCTTTCATGTACACACCAGGTGTCACTTGCTCTCTGTGAGCGCGAGGCCTGTCCGTCTCGTGTCCGGTTGCTATGAGAACCGCTGCAGGCGCGTGAGATGAAGTGGCAGTTTTGTGTGCGCGCACAGCTCAGCATGAATTACAGCAGGTGATGGAGTTTCATCACCTTCATCCTCAGCTCCTGTTACGGCCTGCTCTACCCTGCACACTTATAAAGATGGTTCTTCAAGGGTTCTTTAGTAAAGGCAATGGTTCTATTTAGAACCATGAATCCCATATATCCATTTCATGCTTCTTTGCATGGTGAAATAGTGCTTTAGATTGTTGAAGAATGTGTTGTGTATGGTTCTATATAGAACCCTTTTGAAAATGGTTCTATTTAGCACGAAAGGGTTCTTTTATTGTTACGATGTCAAGCCTGCAATAATAGAAGAATCCTTTTTGGTACTATATAGAACCATTTTCGAAAATATTATATAATATTATACTCTCCACCAATCTTAAGAAACTTTTCACCATGCAAAGAACGATTTACGAATGAAATGGTTCTATATAGAAATCATGGTTCTAAATAGAAGTATATGCCTGTTTATTTGCTTGTTTATCAGCTCGCTTTTTGTTTTTATCATATTTTCTCTTTCTTGATTTCACTCATTCTTTATCTCTTTCGCCTTTTCTTTCTTGCTTGTTTTCACTCATTTTTTTTCTTTCTTTTCGTCTTTCCTCCTTCTTTCACTTAATCGCTGAAAAAAGCTGCTGAGCGCGGTGCTGGTGAGCGCTGTCCACGCTGTTGGTGCTGAAACCTGCGCTCCTCCTGTAGAGCCGCTCAAACTCAGGAGGGCAGAGAATGTTTTTCTCTTTTTCTCTTTTAACGCATCACCTCCAACTCCTGGAGGCCTTCAGCATGAGCTGCATCAGGTGTGTTAAATGAGGCAGAGTGTCTTCAGTCTGTGACCCTTCGGAGTCTCACAGCCTCGTCTCAAAGTGAACTCTAAAGCAGTGAAACACGTTCGTCGTTATAAGTTATGAACGCCGCACAAACATAGATTTTAAGCACATTTTTAGTCATCTAGGCTGTCTGTTAGCTCTATATGAGTATGGTTTCTCTTACAGTGCTGTAAAATGAAACATTGGGGGGGGGCGCACCGAGCTGGTTCCATCATAGGCGCCGCAAACCGTGGCGCGCGCGCGGCCTCTCGAGCTTCTCTGGCTGCGATTGGCGGGAGCCTGGTGACGTCATGGCCACGCCCGCTGCTGGAAAGCCGCGGGTCGCGCAGATGCGCCTCACATCTGGAGCACTTGGAGGATCCGCGGCGCTGCAGGCTCGCGCTCGCGCCGGAATGGCCACCACCGCGCTGCTGAGGCTGCTGAGCTTTGCGCGCGCCACGCGCATCACGTGGACACCGACGAGCAGCGGAGGAAAGTGCGCCGACTGAAACACTGGGATTCTTTTCTCTTTTTATTTGTTTCTCTTGTTTATTTCCGTCTTTTCTTTCCTTCTTTCGTTCATTGGCCCTAAAAAGAAAACAATGCAACTAATGAATGTAACTAACGGCAGCGGAGCGGACGGACTCACGCCCTGGAACTTTACCGGTGAGTTACGGTGTGTGCGTGTGTGTGTGTGTGTGTGTGTGTGTGTTAGTGTTAGTGTGTGTGTGTGTGTGTGTGTGTGTGTGTGTGTGTGTGTGTGTGTGTGTGTGTACGTGAGCTGATGAGTGCCTACCAAAGCCCATCAGCCATGGATTCGCTTTAAAGTGGCTTTAATATTTTTCTCCCTCTCGATCTGATGTGTTTCATGCAGCATCTTAATAAAGCTCAAATTAAAATACTCATTTACCTCATAGGCCAGAAGGAAAAGAAGCATTTTCTTTAAAAGAAAGCAGCCTATACTGTATAAAACAAGTTACAAGCACTAAAACCCACCCCAATCATACGTATAACAGATTCTGAGGTGAAGTTCCACTTGTTCTTGTCAAAATGTAAACTGCCACTGGAGTTGAATAAACTCTAAATAAAAACTAAAGCACTGATACTGAATAAGCTCCAGCGTGGTTGTGTAAGAGTAATGGAGATAGATGTGTTAATTTGCATGCACATCAGTTAGAATATTTCACCTGACTTTTCTTTGGACTTTCGTTTAAAAAGTTTGAGTAAAGTGGACCTTACGTGAGCAGGTTTAACTGTTCCTTACATTTGCACATGGAGATTGAATATGGTGTGCATGGATTACAAGAAGCCTCAGCTTCAAATCATCACATACTTTAGGAGACGCTTTTTAAACAAAGTAAAAACATGTTATGTTTTGAAAAATATGTTTGAATGTTTTGAAAAATCTCTTAATCCCTAAACCATCTCATGAAATATCCTATTACCTTTACATACTAATACAAGATTCTCATTCCTCCTTTAGTGTCTGTGTGGGAAATAGAGAATGATATTTTGGTACATTTGAATGGACAGAGATTAGTGCTGATATTCAGTTTAAATTTTATCTCTGCATCTTTTTGAGCTGGAATCAGAACTTCACTGCGTTCTCCAGCTGGCTCTCAATGTTCACGTCAATTTTAATCTCAAATATGGTTTGCAGGTCTTTTCACACTGACCTTACTCCCACACGCTCATCCAGTTCCTCCTCCTGCTGTCGAGCAGTGTGTGTGTGTGTGTGTGTGTGTGTTTGTGTGTGCGTGTGTGTGTGTGTGTGTGTGCGTGTGTGTGTGTGTGTGTGTGTGTGTGTGTGTTTGTGTGTGTGATTGCCCATATCTCTGAGTGTTGTGTCATTTTTCAGAACAGATCTGTGGAATGAAAAAGTGCAGAAATTCAGCTCCTCTGATGTATTGACTTTACTTGATTCAATTTTTTTGCATAATTTCCACATAAAAATATATTACATAAACACAATTATTGCTAAAACTAATTGTTGTTGTAACTAAATGTTGTTGTAACAAACATTATTCATGAAAATGTACACATATGAATCAAGAAATTCAACACATTGTTTTTTTTTCTGGGGTCTGTGAGCTCAGAGTTCTGTTGAAAGAGCAGAATCTTTCCTCTGCTTTCAGTCACTCTCACAGAGCAATCAGGAGGAGAAAAAAACAAGAGTGAATGAGTTTCAGTCACTTCATCTCTATTTCTCTCTCCCTTTCTTTCTATCTCCTTTTCTCTTTCTCTGTGTTCTACTCTCTCTCCTTCACATGTTCTATTCTCTTTCTCTTTTTAATCTATTTATCACCCTGTCTCTCCCTCTTAATCTGTCTCCTTTTCCCTCTCTCTCTCTCTCTCTCTCTTGCTCTCTCTCTCAATGTTCTATTCTCTGTCGCTTCTCTCTCTCAATCTTTTCCCTTTTTCTATGTTCCAATCTACATCTTTCTCTCTGCTGTCTCTCTCTTTCTATCCTACTCTGTCTCTCTAAATATTCTCTCTCTGTCTCTCTCTCTCTGTTCTGCTCTGTACTCTGCCTCTCTATATGTTCTCTCTCTGTCTCTCTCTCTCGCTCTCCATCTCTTTTACCTTTTTCTGTTCCAGTCTCTATCTTTCTCTTTGCCATATCTCTCTCCTATTGTTTCACTTCTACTCTGTCTCTCTATATATTCTATGTATTTGACTTTCTCTGTCTCTCTCTCTTTTCTACTCTGTGTATCTATATGTTCTCTCTCTCTGTTTCTCTGACTCTCTTTTTCTCTCCCAACTCTCCCTCCCCTCTCTCACTCTCAGACTGCTCTGTGGAGAATGAGGCTTTAATGTGGCCTGATTGTTGTGTGTGTGTGTGTGTGTGTGTGTGTGTGTGTGTGTGTGCGTGTTCACATTGCCATGCAAAGCTGTAATATCTACTCCCCCACTCTGTCTAAAGCCCCTCACTAGACTGCATCTCACTCAAGGAATCACACACACACACACACACACACACACACACACACACACACACATCAAAGTGTTTGTAAAGTAGTATGTGGGACCCTAATCTTCAACCTCTCTGTAACAGTGAAGTGAAGGGAGGTGCCAGCATCCAGCAGATGGAGATTTAGCTCCAGTGTGAGGAAATTGAAGAGTTCTCCCTTTATCACACTCAGTGACTGCTTATAGACAGGTCACATGTGTCCAGAATTGTCAGACCATCATAAACAAATAAACACAAAGATTTATGAAGCTGAGTTTCCATTAACCAAACTAACCAAGATGCTGTACTCCTGCTTTGCTGTTATTAAAAGAGATGTTCTTTTCAGAGAGAAAGTGAAAGCGAGAGCCAGAGTAAGAGACAGAGAGAGAGAGGCAGAGAGAAAGAGTGTAAGAGAGGGACACTGAAAGAGAGAGACTGTGAAAGAGAGAGGGAAAGAGAGAGAGGATTGTTCAGTGCTTCTACTCCATCTCCGTCATGACCGAAATGACACACAGAATGAAACATTAAAAAAGTGTGTTGGCTCCCCTGTGCATGGGTGTAAATGTGTGTATTTAGGTCTTTGTGTGGACCAGGTGTCTCTAAGTTGATGGGAATTGTTTTTTTTTTTGTTCAACCAAAAGTAAAAGAGTTCAGAGTATTTCCCTTCAGTAGCTCAGGTTAAGGACAGGTTTCAGTTTAGGGTTAGCACAGCAGTGTTTAACACTAATCATATAGAAAGAAATTTAAATACCCTAGAAATAGACAGGCATAGTTATGGAAGTGTGTGTATGTGTGTGTGTGTGCATGTGTGTGTGCACGTGTGTGTCAGGTCTATCTGAGTCTGAGATCAGATTTGAGTTCTGAGATCATTCAGACTGTGACTCTGGCTTAATGACATTTAGAGATCATTGCAATACAGACCCTCCAGTAAAGTCTCTCTCTTTGTCTTTGTCTCTCTCTCTCACTCTCACTCTGTCCTCAAACTGTGGTCTCTCTCTGTATCTCTCGCTCTCTTTCTGTCTCTCTCTCGCTGTTTCTTTCTGTCTCTCTCTTTTTCCCATTCTCTATCTCACTCTCTCTTTTCCCAATCTGTGCTCTCTCTCTCCATGAGACATCTCTATGTTCTCTCTTTTTGCTCTGCTCTCACTGTCTATCTCTCTCTTATTTTGTTCTGTGTTCTCCTCTTCTATCTTACTGTTCTGCATCGTCTCTCTCTCTCTCTCTCTCTCTCTCTCTCTATCTATCTTTGTCTAATTGTTAACCCAGTTTTACAGAGAAAAGTGTGTCGGGCTGCTGCTGCTTCGCCCAGCCAGCGTGAGCCTCAGATGTACACACACACACACACACACACATACACACACAGACACACACACAGTAAAACAGTGTGCTGCGGGACACATCCGGCACTCTTTCTTCTCTTCATTTAATTGTGTTGAATGAAACACCCACAGTAGCTGAAAAGGCAGGAACAGTTCAGAGCTTGAAGAGAAGCCCTGAGCGCTTGGCTGCTGGCGAGAGACCGCAATTCCTACAGCTCTGTCCTGACCCATCACACACCACTTTTAAGATACTCACTTTCATGGCCTACACTACAATGCTAGTCAATCTTCTGTTGTCATTAGGCAAGGAGAAGCGCAGCAAGTTCTGGGGCCATATTTTCTCTTTTTCTTTATATATTTAAAAATAAAGGTATCCAAGGGATTTTTTACAGCAATGCCACAGAAGAATCCTGTTTGATTCCCTAAAAGCCATCCAACTGAGAGATTTCAATTAGTTCTTTAAAGAATCATCCAAAGGTTTTTTTAAAAAAAAAAACATTCTTCTACGGCATTGCTCCAAAGAACCCCTTTTGGCAGCCCTATTTTTAAGAATTTGTTGCCCCTATTTCAAGCAGTGCGGAACCCTTAGGGCCTACTAGGCCTTCTCTAGTTTCTGGGAAATTACATGTCATTTTAGTTCATTTTTGTTTAAAATAATCATTGTGTTTGCTGTATTTAAACTTTGAAATGGTTGTAGTCCTATTTCATTTTTAAGATTTGGTTGGAAACAAAAGGGTTATCAGGTATCAGGTATTTAGATAGATACTGCCAAGCGAGATCGTCTTTTGGTTAGGACCTCAGGAGCTGAACTGAACTCCTAATGCGTCAGATTTTGATTTTCAATGGGTGGGACCAATTTTGTGGGGAAAAAGGTCACTCTAGGCCTTCTGGAATTCTTAGATACGTAACTGACTGTGAGTATAAGTGGTAGCCTGACCAGTGCTTTTTGTGAGACAAGGAAAATAGTGACAGCTCTATGAATGGACTCTTCCTGTAACAAGCTTCAGATCAGTCGGTTATTATTATTTATTCATGCCTTCTACTTTAATAACTAATTTACCCATTACAATAGAAATAGTAAAACACTAGAATGATTTAGTGTAGTACCTGCCATACAAGCACATAAGGAATCTATAGACAGCTTGCTGTCCGAAAGGGGAGAATGGCAGGAGAAATGTCAAAACAAAAAGGAAAAATATGGGACAGACTTGAGGAAAACTGAGGAGTCCACTGAGATTACACATGAAAGGTTGTTGAGGCACTGAACCATTCCAGGGATCTCAGCCAAAAGCACATGATCTAACGGGCTCACTCCAGGCCCAGCCAGAGTTTAATATTAAAGACTCAACTGTTGGTTCTCGATCTTTTAAGACGTGTGGAAAGTCTTGGCACAGTGC